GACTCGAAGCGACAGAGATGTGGTTCTACAGAAGGATGCTAAGGATATCATGGACCAACCGTGTGAACAACGATGAGGTCTTAGAGAGGTTGCAAAGAAGGAGGAGGCTTATACTTAATATCAAGAAGAGGCAGCTGAAGTTTCTGGGAAAACAACGCGTAACATACCTGGTGGGCTTAAGCAAGGGATGACAGAACTTGGTCTGGGGGAGGAAGCAGAGGGAAGGAACTTGTTGAGAGCTGTAAGGGATAGAGGGAGGTGGTTAACCATGATCGCCTACGTCCTGAAAGGACATGGCACATAAAAAGAAAAAGAAGGATTTTGGCGATCAATAGCTGATCAGACCTTGTCTTAGAAATCGTCACTTCAAAAAAATAAGAGTCGTATTAAAACAATGAATGTATAATTTTGCTTGATTGATTATTTGTGTGTGTGTGTGTTAGAGAGAGAGAGAGAGAGAGAGAGAGAGTTTGTTTCTGTATGTGTGTGTTGATAGTTTGGTTGATTTTGTTTAGCAGCATATCAACCTCTATGGGTTATTTCTTGCCGAAATCTAAATATTTTGAACACAATTTTATAGAGTCTGTCTATATTTCTGAGATGAGGTATTATGTACAGTATTTACATTAGTCGGACCAGTGATCGAAATAAAGGGTTCAGTTCGAAATTCCTACCACCTGAAGAAGGCCGGAGCGTACAACGGCCGAAACGTTGTGACAAATATGGCGACAAAGATGAGGACAATAGTCCGACTAATGTAAATACTGTACAATTTTATAGCTTCAACTAAATATATTTTGAGCGTAATTATATGCCTTCAAATACAGATAAAATGTATTGTTGGTCATTTTGCTATAAAATGTATTGTTGGTAATTCTAATACTACTTTTTGGTAATTTTTGCTATAAATATGTATTGTTGGTAATATATGTATATATATATATATATATATATATATATATATATATATATATAACGTATTTTGGTCTTTTACTATAAAAATGTATGTTTATATATTCATAGTATTTTGTTTTTGTTCCGGGGTTTACTATTTGCCCATACTTAGGATCGTAACAGGTGCTACCACCCCGGTTCATGGTGGACTTGACAACAGCAGCAACTAAGAGATGTTTCCACTCTCCTCAAAACCTCTAATCTTCCGATCAGAGGCCTTGCTGCTAGATGTAGTTTATCGTCATACCCAAGACTAGTGCTTAATAGGACAGAGAGAAAGAGATAACAAAAGGGTTTTTCCTCGTGAATTACTGTTGCTATTAAACATTGATTAAATCAGGCCAGTTTCATCGTCTTTTTTTTATTTTGTCCCAACATTCTTCGTGAAACAAACTCATATAATAGACCGAAAAAAATTATTAGGTGGTAAGAAAATTAAAATAAAGGGTGTATATGTTATGCCTAAATCGTTCAATCACCAGACCAAGAATAAATATTAGCACCACAAATGAAAACGATAAGAAAAAATAGGTGTAGATATTCTGCGAATGTCCAAATAGATGAACACGCTGGTAAAATCTCATCTTATTTTCGGGAAGTTGTGAGTTCAATCCCTGTGTCAGGTAGCGAATATATACGAGCTCGGTGAATAAGTACATCGGCATTATAAGGGAGAATTTATAAATTCTAAAATTGTCTCGGAAGGATAGCATGTATCTAGGGATTAAATAAAGAGTTTTTTTCGACATTGCAGTAAGGTTGCTAAATCCGACAATTATCTGATGAAGGCTTCATGTTATATCAGCTGAAACGTTACAAAAAAAACAAAGAAAATGGTGAATAAATCAATAATCCTTTCTCCCGCTTGTCTCAGTCTATTATATACATGAAAAATAGATAAACATATTGACCCATGAAAACACCATTGATGAAATACTAATTATTTTTTATGCCAGCATCTGTGACTATGAAGTCTATGCTTATAATAACGTTGATGAGGCTATTTAAATAAAGTAGGCAGTTCTTATGCGAAATTTTTTTATTGCATTATTGACAAAGTAAAAATTCTTTATGCGATGTGGTCATTAGATAAAATAATTGGGTTGAATGACTCAAGACGAAAGTACCCAATCTAACGTGCTATTTATCCAATAATCACTATATATATAAAACAAAGATTATGTTTAGGAAATTTCATGAAGATATGCTTTTTATACAAGTAATTTTTGTATAGTACTCAGTATCTATTTATAAGTATACATGTAGAGTATATATTTATAAAATCTAGAGTAAAAAACTAAATGGCTAATGACATCAAAATTTTTAAACAAAAACATATCGGTCGGTTATTGAAAATTAACTTGGAAATATTTTAATTAATTCTCTGAGGTGAGAGAGAACATTCAATAATAATAACTATGAAGAGACAAAAAAAAAATGACGAAAATGAGAAATTACGACGACATTTTAAACATAAGCACCAACGCGCAGGCAGGCACATGCACGCGCCCACCACACTCACCTACGCACGTGCACACGCGCACGAACAATGAAAAGAAAAATCAATCTTGCACAAATGAAAAGTGCATATGTAAAAGAAAATAAATAGTCAATTGCTGATATCCCCTTACGAGTGGGTGGAGTTATTGCTGGAGGGTGCATCTACGAAACCCTGGAGTCGGGATGCTGAAGGTAACAGCAATCAACTAAGTGACAAATCTTATATTTGTATTTCTCTCTCTCTCTCTCTCTCTCCATATATATATATATATATATATATATATATATATGAAGAAATATAGTTTTAAGGTGTGCTATATTTATGGGATAAAGTGCTCAATATCAGAGATTGAGCGTATGTAAATATAAAAGTGAACATTGAACTCAAGACTCAGAGGCGACAGACTGTTTTTTATACTAGACGCAATCGTGACCTGATAATTGCGCCTAGCATGAAACAGTCTGTCGACTCTGAGCGTTGACTTCAATGTTCACTTTTTTATATATATATATATATATATATATATATATATATATATATATATATATATATATATCAGGTGTTATTGGTTAGTGGTTAAATAAAAAGTTATATTGGTCTCTCTAGTCTTGAGTGGCACCCAATTTAGAAGATGCACTACTCTGGATTACAAACCGTGGAGAAGGCAGCATGAAACTACTCCACTATCTTTCCCAACGAATGCATGGCAACTCATAGATAATAAAGAAAAAGTATCTGTGGAAAGTCATGATCGCCTCTATCCTGATGAAACATGATATTAAAAAGTAAGAAAAATGGAAACAAAAAGGATGTTTATACTTAGAATCAGAAAGAGATAGTTGAAATTGCAAGAACACATAATGGAGAAAAAAGGCTTCGAGAACTTGGTACTCTCAGGACGTATTAAAGAAAGAGGAACAGAGGAAAACAGCTTTATCCCTTATTTCCTGCTTAGCTTTGAGTTTCCGGTTGCTTCTGAAATCTACTTTAATTGTATACATCTCTGCCTAAATCTCTAAAATTTTATTTATTTATTATTTAGATTTTTCCTCTATAGGAGTCGATAGGTTTACTTAGCACCCGGTTCACACTCCTTCTCGGACTTTTGAACAAGAGTAGAGTTTATCCCTTGTTTCCTGCTTAGAATTAGGTTTCCGGTTCCTTTTAAAAAATGTTTCCCTTCTTTTCATTTCCGGTGGCCGCTTGCACCTTGGTGACATTATCAACTTGTTTGAGGTAGTGCCTCTTGCTCTTTAACACTCTACCTCGAGTGGCTCTTGGACCATTTACAGTGTGAAGATCATTGTGAAAAACGGGGGAGTTTGTGAAAATGGATAGCGGAACAGATATTGGAAGGGATAGAGGAAATTGATTGATTGTATTTTTTACGTTTTATCAACCCTTTGTGGTTTATTTAAAACCGAAACAAATTTCGGATTGTACGAGGTTACTTACAATACCGGGTGTTCTCAAGCCGTCCCTAATTTAGGTACAGACCGGACTCGAAACTGCTTAACTTTTCTGAATTCCTCAAAGACTTTTATCTACTCGATTATATTTTAACCTCCTGCTTTCCACAGAGAAAAATGACTTATGTAGATCTGAATTACTAATAACTGAAACAAATTACGCTCTCTTGATTCTCAATGTTCACGTGATACAGATATCAACACTAGAATTATCTTAACTTGATAGCCTACTTCCCCCAATGGCTGTTCTTCATGCTGGTAGCAAAAGAAGATGTCAGTATCTGTTAATCACAGACGGTCAAGAACTTCGAAAAGGCGTCAGCCTGATCTTCACGCTGAGAATCTATTCCGACAAAACGTTCCTGACTGTTGCCACGCAAAAGTTACAAGAAACACAAGGCCCCACTGTGCAGTGTTTACACAGGGAAAGCCACACAAGGGGTAACCAGAGAGGCCGACAAGTTGGGTTGATCAATGGCCAGTTGGTCGTAACAAGGCACTGCGTCTGGAGCCCTTTGAACGAGGGCCACTATCGCGTCATACAACACCTTGAGCAAGAGCGCGTTTACACTGAATTATCTTTCTTGCAGTCTGGCTGGCACCGAGGTGATATCACATGATAACGCCCACTGTCTGGACCGAGCTGCAAGATGGAAACTTGATACGAGAAATAAGAGGCCGGAGTTTTCTATTCTTTTGTAACTCGTAGAAGAAAAATACAAAGGAGATTTAAAAGAAAAGAGACGGAAAGAAGAGACCCGGGAAAGAAAAATAAATGGATTATTGCTTAAAAATGGGATCCTGTTTCGTTTCTATTTCGTTGAGTTCTGTGTTTGTTTGGTATTTAATGACTATTTTTATGTAAATAGAGAAATACAAAAACACAGTATATAAACTGGTGATAAAGATACGCATATACGTATTCGTACAGACTGTAATAGCAAAATAGATAGATAGATAGATAGATAGATAGATAGCGAGAGAGAAAGAATGAGAGATCAAACACAGCGCCTCAAAATACAAATAGGGTTAAAAAATCAGATGTTAAAATGAGGGTGCTAGTTTAGATATCATGGCTTGCGGCCATATCATGTCGAAACACCGGTTCCCGTACGATCATCGAAGTTAAGCAACGATGAGCCTGGTTAGTAGCTAGATGCGTGACAGCTTAGAAATACTAGGTGCTGTAAGCTTGGAGTGAGAAATCGGAGAGGCGAGTTCGAATTCCAGTCTGGTTCGATACATTCTCTTACGCGTGAATAAACTTGGGAAAGTTATAACTTCATTTCTTCTCTCCTTAACCATGAGTTAAATAGCAAGACAGTACTAGAGCCTAAGGTGTTGACAGCTTGACTGAGAGACGGAAGTTTATCTACTGTTTTTCTACGGTGCATATATCTGTAAAAATTATTTTGTGGAATATGTGAGCGCCTTTTTATATAATTTCTAACTACTTAAAATTTTAGAAAAATATTCTCAATAATCTAATATTTTATTGATTTGGGCTATTTTGACTTTAAATTTACTATATTTATTGCTCTTATTTTCTGATAATGTCGTGTATGAACGTCCGTATTTACAAAAAATCGGCGCATTTATGCACACACAAAAAACTTTCAAAATTATTTTTAAAATATTGGGCGTCGATGAATTGTACTAAGTTTTTCCATTTATGATTAGTAAATATAGTTTTTACTTTATAACAATATCACTTAAATTCAGCAAAGTAAGACAGAATTTTAAAAAATTTAAAGCTTTATAAATTATTATAATCAAAATTTTTAAATTGCAAATCGAATAATTTTTTGTTCTTAAGACAATAGTGTCCATAATATATGTTATTCATATAAGCAATTAAAAACTTTTCTAATTAAATAATATCTTAGTTTTATTAAATTTTCTTTTATTTTGCGATTCATTGCAGATTTTCTGTAACTGAGGGACCTGTTTTACAAAAAGAAATTGATGATTTAAATTTTTCAAGAAATTCTGTTTTTAACTAATACAAACATTAAACACTGCAAAATGTAATTTCTCGAAATTTCATAAAATTAAATAAGTGGTGGGGGGGGTTAATAGATGTAAAAAATATATTTTGACCAAAATTTTCTTAAAAAATACATTTCTAAAATAATTTTGCTCATTTGTAAATATGTTCTGAAAGTTTCATTATAATCCGACAGTTATTCGATTTTTACAAGAATTTTCAATTCGCTGTGTTTTTCATCGCAAAAAAGACGCTAAAATTTCCTATACTAATCTATGGTCCTCGTGCTGATACAAAAAAAAAGATTTTTAAGCAAACCTTTGAACGTTCTAAAAAAGATCAAAAAATATAATTTAATAATCAAAAAATCCTTTGGTCTCTCCTCTCAATAATAACATAAGGATTTTGACGATAAAATGAACACAGGTTTCTCAATAATAACATAAGGATTTTGACGATAAAATTTTGTTGTTTGGGACATTTTTTCATCATTGCATACTAATTTTTTGCCAATCAATGGTGGTCGTGGACCTACATTAAATGAATAATTTTAGTTCTATTATCCTAATATAAACATTTTTTTGTCTTGATTTGAAATGCAAAATAATTTTTGCTGTTTGTTTGTACTTATTTTCTGGAATGAGATATATAGAGAATTTTTAGAAGCTAAAAAAATAAGAAGTTTTATGATTGATTTTCAAAGTTAATGGTAGTAATAATTTTAGACAACTGATACAGCTCAGCCAATACAAGTGTGGCTCAGCTCAATAGCACCATCAGAGAATGTGATCAAAACAAATTTAGTCACTTCTTTTCTTCTAAGTTGCAGAAAAAATTTAGGGGTATAAAACCCCAATTTGCCTCCATACAGCGCCATGTATATAGACAGATGACATTTCATTTGTACAAAGCTGCTTGTGTATAAACATTCAGTTAAAATACTACGATAAGTATAAAATTGTTTTTATCTTAAATTTCGAAAAAAATAGTGATTTTTCAAGTGATCTACACAATCTAAGCTACTGATAATACTATTTAATATTTTAAAAAAATCTGGGAATACATTTCTTCCAGGAGTGTGTTTCTGTTTGAGTAAAAGGCGTAACATAGAGTTTTACAATATACGAATATTACAGATTTTGCGTGAAAGTCATGACCAGAAGGCGTTAGGATTGTCGCAAAACGCCAACCATCGCAGGAAGGTGTGTCAGAATTTAACATGCACAGGATATATCGAAGGTAAAAAGGACAACAGCCGTCAGCGGCTCACCTGGCTGACCAGCTTGTATGGAACGGGGGTTAGGATGGGTAGAATAAAAGAAAACGTTCTTATTTTATGTGCCGTGTCTCTTCAAGACGTAGGTGATCATGGCCCTCCACATTTTCCTGTCCCTTGTAACTATTAATAAGTTTTGTCTTTTCGTTATATCTCCAAAACCCTGTTCTACCATCCATTTACTTGTTATGGTCCGGTTCCTTGTACCACGGTGATAGTCCAAGGTAGAACCAATAAAGAAGAACTCGAACACAGGTATGGAATAACACAGATATATTACAAACAGGAATATATACAGAGATGTAGAAAGTGTTAGTACGAACAATCAGGTTTAGTAGAGACAACAATGTAGTCTCGACCAGTATCACTATTCCAATGTCTTGCAGTAATTGTCTGAACACGACTCTGTTTCGGACTGCCTCTGACTCGACTCTTGACTCGACTTCAACTACTGACTCAACTTGAACTATTGACTCCTTGCCTACTCCCGAGGCGCAGTATTTATTAAGTATGGAATAGTCCATTATTATTATTATGGGTAAGATCCCATAACATTGCTCAAGCTCATCATTACGTTACGGGTGCTTTCCACTGCCCTTCTTTCCCGCAATCTGTCCTGTGGGTATCAGGTTTTCCAATTCCTCCTCTCTCATTACGTGCCCCAGAAATTTCAACTGGCTCTTCCTGATATTTCCTTTTTGTTTCCATTCTCTCCAAAACCTTGTTGTTTCTCACATATTCGGTCCATGGAATCTTCAGTATCTTTCTGTAGAACCACATTTCTGTTGCTTTCAAACGTTACTAAAAGTCGTAAGTCATAATCAGCATACAATATTTATATTTATATATATATATATATATATATATATATATATATATAGTACAGGTAATAGGTGGATCCTAGTAATATTAAATATTTAAACTGATCCACACAGAGCTCGATGTGGTTATTATAACAGAGCATTTTTTACAGCAAAAAATACCAAATTACCTCAACATTGGACAGACACTTAGGGGCTGATGATAGCTGCGTACAGACCAGCTTGAAATAGACTATTCCCATGTTGAGGTAATTTTTGTTTTTGTTTTTTTTTTTTTTTTTTTTTTGCTCTATCAGCATAATTGTCCATCCTACAAAATGTTTAATATCTATAAAACCACTAAACTAATTGAGTTTCTTTTTTCCAGGTTTTCAGATAAGATGTTTAGCTTAAAATTGGTCAGTTCCATTTATACACGCGGGTGGCGAATCTGACCCCTCGCAAGATGATAAACCCGAGACAAAGATATATATATATATATATATATATATATATATATATATATATATATATATATATATATTATTACAGAACAAAATCCAAAATTACCTCATATTGGTGGTAGGGAGAGAGCTAAGTCAGTCTTATTCAACCTAGATGTATAGACTGAGTAAGGAAAAAAGTCTGATCCCAAAGATAGACTAGAAAATTATAGATTTCGCTCATGCTCCTAATAGTCTTAGAGATAGTTGTAACTTGTGTTTAGAAGAAAAAATAGAATAGTAAAATACAATAATCAAAGCAAAATATTAAATCAAAGGAATGAATTAGTTTTAAAATGTCAACATAAAAACAATTTTTTAAATATAGATTATACTTTATTACTATTTAATTCTCTAACTCTTCAAATGTCGAATGTATAACTAATTCTAATTTCTATATTTCCATATTTTCATCATATTAATTATATCTTATAATTGTCCCCTGTTCTAAGAACTCTCTTTCCATTTTTCACTTACACTTCTTTATCTATATATTTTTTAAGCTTTTTAGGCTTTTTTAAATATAACTTCGTAATTTTTGTTTTTCTTAATATAATTAGACTTAACTTATCTTTAAATTAAAAATGTATCATTTATTTTATCTTTTTTATTTTTAAATATATTTTTATTCTTTAATATAATTTTTTAAATATATTCTTAATTAAATTTAATATAAACTATCTAAATATTACTTATTTTTAATCTTTTAAATATGTCTTGTTTTTAAGTATAATTTATAATAGATTTTAAGAAGGAACCTAACCTTTTATATAGATAATTTATTTTTATAAAACCCCTTTTTCGGCCCTTTTTTACTTTCAGATTAACGCCTCATTCTTCATATAACTCCAGTTTAATGTCATAAGGTTAATATCTAGGTTTAATGTTATAAAACCTCTTCCCTTTCAGGCTAATACCTTCCACGCTCCCCTAACGACCGTCTCGGTCATTTCGTCTGACTGAAACATCGAAATGGATAAATTCTGTATCGATTTTTCTACAGCTTTCAAAGTTAAATTTCTAATTCCGACACGAACTCAGTTAGGGTTGAATAAGACTGACGTAGTTTTCGTCGTTTGACATAGATCTATCCCTACCACCAATATGAGGTAATTTGGGATTTTGTTCTGTAATACTATATATATATGAGTGTGTGTGTGTGTGTGTGTGTGTGTGTGTGTGTGTGTGTGTGTGTGTGTGTGTGTGTGTGTGTGTGTGTGTGTAAAAATATAGAGAAAATAGGAAAGAACTCGTTAGGTAAATAATCCAAAGTTCTTTAGTATTTTTGTTCTTATTTTTAAAAATAGTGCTCGATACAAAAGTAGAGCACAAATATAATTATTTATTTAAAATATGATTCCATCGCTACATAAGAGTTCTCATGTTTCAAAACAAGAGCCGAAAACTTCAATATAATTATTTGAACTAAATTGAATTAAAGTATATATATATATATATATATATATATATATATATATATATATATATATATATATATTTCTATCAGGTTTATCATCGTGCGAGGGTTCATATTCGCCACCCGCCTGTATAAATGGAACTGACCAATTTTAAGCGTCCGATGATTTGTTTCTTGTTTACCACTGTGAAACTTTTAATTTTAAACT